TGCGCACACATGCATGCACGTGCGCGCGCGTGCAATGAGTGAAATGACTGATATACTTGATGAAGCCGTAACTTTTATATTTCTTGATGAATTGCTTTGAAACTCAAAATATAAAGATGTATTAGTAGTCTAGACAAGATGACATGGTCAAATTAGCGTGAACTCACGCGCATGCACGTGCGCTCTTCTCTGATTGACTGATACAAAAATCTCAATAATTTCCTTGTTTTTTGACAAAATACTTTGAAATTTTGAATATAAGTATATATTATAAGGTGCTACAACATGTTATATAGGAAATTTCTTGAAAACACGCGCATGCAGGTGTGCTGCAATCTGATTGGTTGAAACTTTAAATGTCTATAACTCCCTCGGTTTTCAACAAAACAGGATGAAATTTACGACATGGATAGGCACATAAAGCTCCTACATTACGATACTATCAAAATTGAATGCAAGGCCATGCATGCGCGTATGCTGAATTCTGATTGGCTAATACTTAAATGGTCACATCTCTCTTATTTATCAATGAAATTCTTTAATATTTAACACAAATGTATGTATTGTGAGACACTATAAGAAAATTAATGTGAAAAATGTAGAAAACATGTGCAAGCACATGCACTGAAATTTGATTGGCTAATACCCATATGGCTATATCGGAGTAGTTTTCCAATGAAATACCCTTAAAAATAAAGTGTCCATCTATATTACAAAAGTATTGACTCTAATTTATTGAAGCTTGTAGGGAATGGGGCATCATAAGGGATTGGGGAGCCATTTGGGGAACATCTGTAACGGTTCCTGTTACAATTAGCACTAGTTTTTTTTGTTGTGTTTTTTTCTGCCGCAATGTGTATATTATATATATATATATATATATATATATATATATATATATATATATATATATATATATATATATATATATATATATATATATATATATATATATATATATCTTACTTCTAGAGTATGAGTTAATTGTATTGTCGGTCAATTAAGTGTGGTTAATGCTCTCTGAACAGGGACTGTAGATAATTCATTGCTTAATATATGCTACTTTGAAAATATTCAGGTATCAATGGACTAGAAGCCGAGAGTGTTGAAGAACACCTTGCCAAAACAGTTGAACTCGCTAAACTTCACGAGAAAATGGGTATATTTTTTTATAATTAACTTTTCCTTTTTATTTCCATATCAAATATTCATTACATTTTATTTTTCTTTTATCTTCAGATATTTGATGTGGTCAAGATCTAGTAAACGAGTTTAGACTGTCTTTTTGGCGCTAAATCCATGATGATCTGAGATTTAATTTTAAACTTACTTTTTCCCATACTTTACGGCTATACTAGAATTATGTAGAGAATGGAGTATTTTCATGGAATTCGATTAGTTAACATGTGAAAACTAATCCAGTTATCTATATTCAGTTCAATATTATTTTTCTCCAAATTCTATATGTGGTCAGAATGAGGATGTTTATTATTTTTTCTTTGTTTGTAAGCGATATATAAAAGCAGGAAACAATCTCTTTGACAAACTTTTTAGACTGGTGATACCTTATCTTATGATATGAACTGCTTTATATTTTCAGCAGTTCATAAATTTATTAATGAAACTGAGAGATTTGATTAAAATTTCAATTTATTTATGCCATTTGCCAATATTATTTACTTTATATTATCATTATAACAATTGTACTAACTCTTTTAACTTTACTAACACCAGGAGTAGAACTTATAAGTTGCAAGAACTTGTTTCTGAACCTTGTATGTTAAACTATAAAATATGTTCAAATCAATATTATTTTTAAAAAGAGATCAAAAAGATACATTAGTAAAGGACTATATTCTGTAGTGGCCAGTATCTGCCCCCAAAATAAAACTTTGATGGAGAAATCTTTAATTATGTTCTAAACAAGGTGGATATTTGCAGACTTCAAAGCATTAAATATTTTTATCAACTATGACATCATTAGTTAGATATGACGTCAATAAAATGACGTAAATTCCAAATTGCAATGATTTTGAGAGAAAATAGCGTATTTTACGTCGGTATTTTGATTGGAAATTATCGAGCGCAGGTCTGCTCAGACTAGATCTTTTGATATAATGTGTAGAATGATAATATTAATGAAATATGTGAATATGGTACCTGAGCAAGCTTGCACTCTATAAAAACTATAGTCAAAATTGAACAAACTCTGTGCATTTTGGCCTCTATTTTAAAAATAACGGAAATCCAAATAGTTTGTGACGTCACAGAGACAGGAAAAGCCAGCTAATTTTTCCAATTTCATTATATATTGTCTTAATTTGGATTATTTTATACAATATATGCACTTATTCTCATTTCAAGAGATTTTCAAAATTTGACTATTATGGGGGCAGGAATACGCTCTTACCGTATATAGTTCTTTACTGAGAAAGTGTTGGCAAACTAGATATATTTCCTTTGAGACGGCTTTCTCTCTATATCTGATCTACTTCATTTTTCATTGAAAATGACATTTTAAAATAATTAAGTTTTATTTTGGCTTAGTTTTCCTAGAAATTATTTCCAATATAAAGCATCATTAAAGGATCGAATTCACCTTTCTAATTGGAGAAATCTGTAGGCACCTTTCATTTACTAGATCTTGACCTTAATTTACACAAGAATTAATTTGTTTAAAATTCTTCGTGAAAATACAAGTTACTTTTACGCTTTTTGATGTTCTACCTCCAATCTTACAACATGTACCCTTAATCATATACATACATATATTTTGTACTTCTACAGCAGCTAACTCCATTCCCCCAGAAGATATTGAAATTCCAGAGGGCTGCAGAGAAGGTGATTTGGCTATTAAATGTTTTGATTTGATATGAATTAAAAAAAATTACATAACCTACATGACTCGTATGATAGTAGTAAAGAGAAATATTCTATATAAAGAAGTTAATACTAGAACCATAAGCAGTGCCTTAATCTGATGTGTATGGTGGCAGATTTCTGCCCCCCACATGCAAGATAAATTACGTTAACATGCAACATATTTATGTAGACATGCGACTTATTTAATATGTCAACATGCAAAATAATTATGTTAACATGCAAGTTACCAATCTCTTTAGAGAATCTAATTTTAATGTTGGTAAAATTACTTACCAACGCCCTTATATGATATGATACAAGTGATATATCAACATAATTATTTTGCATGTTGACATAAGTCGCATGTCTACATAATTATGTTGCATATTAATATACTAGTAATTTATCTTGCATACAGGGGGCAGAAATATGCCACTATAGATGTGTAAGTAGATAAATCTGCCTACAAAATCTTTAAGATGTTCAATTATCAGTTAAAATGATTCCTACTGATTGTTTACTGTAGAGGACTTCGGAATGGATTGTGATGAGAATTTCAAAAGAGTTGTCGGTTGTTTGAAGAGAGCTGTTAAACATATGAAGGAAGTGATCGACAATGATGACACAGGTTAAAAAGAATACATTTCAACTCGTATTTACATGCATAACACTCTGCCCTCCTTAATGTACATGTCAGTATTAATAAGGATAAAAGCATACGGTAATTGGGTTCTAGTAATACTAAGAAATATTCCAACTCCTAAGAATTTAACACTGAAGATCAAATGGTACTGTGATTAGTATCTCCCGAAATCACAAACCATATTTAAATTAAAGTTTATGTAAAATAGTCTTTCCTGTCATGATCATTGGTACGTTAACGAGAAGCGGCGAAAATCAAAGCTATTTTATACCCCTGCCACGTACTCAAACAAACACTGGTTTTAGAAAATAAGGAATGGAATTATTGTCATCAGGCTTAAACTGAGAGTATAATTAACTGATTGAAGGATGATATAAATTTGAGCTAAGGGTTCAGAAGTAAAAGAATTGGATTATTTTCCTGCTTTGTTTCCTTCTGTTGTAATGTTATAGTAATTCAATCTTTGTTTTCTGCTCTAGTGGTTGAAAAAGTTTCCCATCTTAAAGGAGTCGTTGGGCTTATAGCCAAGGCAACTGGACCAATCAAAGAGTTGCATGGTAAGATATATAGAAGATATTCTATTTTAAAATTCTTACTCAAGTCAGTTTGTTACCTTATATTATATTCGTTGTATCCATTTAATGTGTTAAAATATATCAATAATTAATCATAATTCAGGCCAGTGGCAACGGTTTCAAAAGGAGGGGGCAAGCCTCTAAAAAAAATCTGACACCCCCCAATACATAGACTGTCCAAAAAGGGGGGGGGGGCAACTTCCCAAATTAATCCGAATAGCAAATGGAATTTTTTTTTAAATCCTGGAATGGCGGCAATCTACATCTAAACGAAGATTTACTATATCAAAAATTTCTGCTCAGAAAAAAAATGGAGACGGGCGCCCCCCCCCCCCCCCCCCCCGCTCCACTCTCCTTCAGCATTCTACGGGCCTGATATTTAAAATTAAGGTGAAACGAAAACAATAAAGCAGACACTAGCTTAATCTGTGTTGGCTGTTAGTTTGTTACGTTGCCTTACTGAAGTATTTGTTTTGTTTTACAGAGGCCTGTACACCGAAGAGGTCGCTTTTCCGTTTTTTTGAATAGACTAAGTTAAACTACTGCAAGTGATTATTGATACAGACGGGTTTTGTCCATGGACTGCTGAAACATTTAATTTTTATCGTAAATGAACATTTAATTTTGCTAATAAATATTTTGCACAATTTGAATTTTATTTTTATACGGACTTTTACTTGATATTTGAGAGATCAGAAGAGATTATGCCATAGTAAGGTGTCCGTCGTAAGTCCGTCTGTCTGTTTGTAAACAAATTTTCAAAATGCTACTCCTCCTACACTTTTTGTCTGATTTCAATAAAACTTGGTACACAAGTATTCTACACTAGCATACATACAGTTAGAATAATCTGTGTCTCGGGACAGGCCAAACCGGGTCCATAGAACATTTCATTTTAACGAAAGAATATTCTATCTAAGATCAATATTTTTTATCCGTTTTTAATTTTGGTGAAGGATGTTGTTATGGTTACTAAATATAGAAATTTCTGAGAAATTCTTTCAAAACGTTACTCCTCCTACAGTTTGAGTCTAGTTTCAGTATAACTTCCTATACAAGACTAAAATAAGGTACATAATTCTATATATCGTTTTTGATTTCGATGAACGGTGTTGCCATGGTTACTAAAAATGGAAATTTCTGTGAAATTCTTTCAAAACGCTACTCCTACAGTCTTAGTCAATTTTAATATATAACCTAGTACACAAGTAATCTATACTAAGATACATAATTCCGACTATCCTTTTTTGGTTTTATCTGCAGGGTGTTGCCATGGTTGCCGAAAAATTGAAAATTCTGTGAAATTTTTTCCAAATGTTGCACCTCCTAAAGTTTCATTCTAATTTTTTATAACTTGGTACACAAGTAAACTTTACTAAGATACACAATTTTATATATATATTTTTTTATAGTGAGCGGTTTTGCCATGGTTATTAAAAATAGATATTTCTGTGAAATTCTTTCAAAGCGTTCCTCCTACAGTTTTAGTCCAATTTCAATATACATGCAACTCGGTACACAAGTGGACTACACTAAGATACATAACTCTGTGTATCCGTTTTTGATTCTGGTGAAAGGTTTTCCCATGGTTTCTAAAAATAGAAATTTTCTCTGAAATTCTTTCAAAATGCTACTCCTACAGTTTTAGTACAAATTTATTATAACTAGGCACACAAGCAAAATACACTAATATACATTATTCTATATATCGGTTTTTGATTTTGTCGAAGTGATGCCATGGTTACTAAAATTCTTTCAAAATGTTATTCGTACTAAATTTTTTGTCCAGTTGCAATTAAACTTGATTCGGAAAGAGACTAAACCAAGAATCATTATTTTATTTACTGCTGTTACCATAGTTTATTCATATCCAAGTGCTACCTTTCCCTACTTTTGTTAAGTAAAAACAGTAGAACTACATTCTCGTCAGAGACTTCCGGCTTTAGGGACAGCTCATTCCTTATGCTCGGTGTTTATACGTGAGATGTTTGCAAAGTAGGTATTAAAATCTTCTGCCTTGTCAATTGGGTGAAAAAATATTCCACTATATCTAGATCTCAAAGCAAGAGGGGAGGGCAGATTAAACAAAACGCCACCATTCACCTGGAGGAACAGTTTGATCTATTAGTTGTGAGGCCAGTTTTATTTAATAATTATTTCAAGCTTTTTGCACTTAATTGACTACTTTGTGACAAATTATTTTCTAAATTTTTGCCACTGACAAGGGTGATCTTTTCTTTATCTTTGATATATTCTTTTTCTTTTCGTCATCTTCTTAAGAAAAAATATTTGTAATGAAAGATTTATCAGAGAGTCAAAAAGTTATGATATTGGTAGAGATTCGATATATATTGCTGATTTCTGGAGAGAATTTTTTTTTTATTATTTATGATACCCTTAATAATTCGAAGTTGATGTATGCTGGATTAGAAAATTATTAGATAATTAAAGTACAAAAGGTCGCTGGAAAAATCTAACACCCTGTTGCCATTAAAAAGTGAAAAAATTCTTGTGTATTGTTTGCGAATTATTATTGATATCTTCATTTATAAATACACATATGCATTTCTCCTTGAATTAACCTTTGTTATTAAAATGTTAATGGGTGAATTCAAAAATAATGACCACCAAATTGAAATTAAAAAAAAAAAAATTCTACTACCCATAACATATTTTTCTCTTATGTCATCATATTGTAAATGCATTCTAGTTAAAATTCCTGATGTTCCAATAGAATAGACAATTGGATTTAAAAAAGTTTCAGAGTTTTTATCATTAAAACTATTTCAAAAAAGAAAATATCATTACATCCTAAAAGACTTTCCAAAATACATAATCAAAAGAAACTATAGTTTATTATGCTTCAAAAGGGTATCAGGGATATAAATGATTAGATCTAAACCTTGATTGAGTTTCTTCTCATGTATATGTGGAAAAAATTGGCTTTTTGATTTTAATTTTACAGTATTTTTTCAATTCTGGTTTGAAAAGTTTTAATATGAAAGAGATATGAAACAATAAAATTCCCTGCAAATCACTTTTTGTCCATTTAAGTCAATTCTTTAAATCTAAGCCAAAAAAAATTGATATACAAGTTTTTTTATAATAAATTCTAGATTTTGAAGTGACCCCATTTTACATTATTATGTTGCACTCCTGACATCTGATATGTATTTTATTTAACATTGTTTTAAAAATTATAATACACAATAACCCATTCTCAGTTTGTAAATTAGAAATCAGACATGACGATAACTTGGCCAAACAAAAGTTGCCACAGTCTACATTTAAAGCTTAATACTTTGAATATTATCAGGAAAGTCTTTATTTCCAGCATAAACCATTATTATTTATTTCACAGATATTGAATTTTCAAAATATCACAAAGGTGTTGCACTGCTGACATTTTTAGCATCTTTTTGGGCATAACTTTTTGTGCATTGAGATATCCATGAGATAGTTGGCAGGTATTTAGACACTATCTAAAGACATATGCTAAAAAAAACAAGATGTGTTTGTGAAACACTGATGCCCCCGTATGGCAGCTTATGGCAAAGTTTAAAGTTTCTCAAACGCAATTCAAACTCCAAGGTCAAGAGATCAAAAATGTTGTTATACAAAGAAAGGACTTGTGTCAATTGATATACCTGATAAATAAGAAAGTCAAAGCACCAACCATTCAAAAATTATGGTCAAGGTTAATGTTTTCTAAAAGTGGGCCAAACTCCAAGGTCAAAGTTAAAATTAATGATACGCGGGGGAAGACCTTGTTATAAAAAATACACATGCAAAATATAAAAGCCCAACTGTACAAAAGTAATCGTGTTGGTAAAAGTTTTTTTTTTTCAAAAGTACGTCAAATTCCAAGGTCAAAAGCTCAAAATTGTTGGTATTCAAATGAATGTCTTGTCATAAGGAATATATCTGTGAAATTTGAAAACCCTAGTACTTAATGTTCAAAAGTTATGGCCAAGGTTAAAGTTTTTAAAAAGTGGGTCAAATTCTAAGGTCAAGGTCAAAAATATTTACACCCGTGGAATGGTCTTGTCACGATATACTAAGTATATACATGCGAAATAGCACCACCTGTTCAAAAGTTATGGCCAAGATTAAAGTTGGGTAAATTTTGCAAAAGTGGGTCAAACTCTAAGGTCAAAGTCAAAAGGTCAGATATGTTGATACCCACAGGAAGGTCTTGTCTCACGGAATACACATGTAAAAAACAAAAGCCTTAGCTCCAACCAATCAAAAGTTACGGGCAATGTTAAAGTATTTGCGGACAGACAAACAGACGGATAGACGGACCCCGAATCTTCGATTACGGGGGTATAAAAATATAAACTATACAAATCTGTGAACAGGGCATAAAACATACACACACCGAAATTTCGTAAGTCGTCCGTTAACATTTGAAAATTTTCAGCTTTTGGTCCCCCGCTTTCGCGAAAGCTAGGGGACATTAAATCTTATTCGTCTGTCTTTCATTCCGTCCGCCTGTCAGTCTGTCTGTCACAAAAACTTTAACCTTGGTCATAACTTTTGAAGGAGAAGAGATAGGGCTTTCATATTATACATGTACATTACCTGTGACAAGACCTTTCTAAATGTACTCTGATTTTGACCCCGTGACCTTTGACCTCGAAGTTTGACCTACTTTTCAACAATTTTAACATAACTTTAAATTGGTCATAACTTCTGAATGAGAAAGGATTGGGCTTTCATATTTACATGTATATTACATTTGACAAGACCTTTCAAAATTTACTAATGACTTTTGACCCCTTGACCTTGAAGTTTGGCGTACTTTTCAAAAGTTTAATCTTGCTTATAACTTTTGATTAAGAAGAGATGGGCTTTCATATTTGACATGTACATTACCTGTGACAAGACCTTTCCAAATTTGCTATGATTTTGACCCTGTGACCTTGGCCTTGAAGTTTGACCTACTTCTCAATAATTTTAACATAACTTTAAATTTGTACAAATTTTGAATGAGAAAAAGTAGGGCTTTCATATTACACAAGTACATTACCAGTTACAAGACCTTTCCAAATGTACTATGGTTTTTGACCTTGACCTTCTTTTCAAAAATTTGCTTTCCTTATACCTTTTTATTTAGAAAATATAGGACTTTCATATTTGACATGTATATTACCTGTGGCAAGACCTTTTCAAATATACAATGATTTTGACTCCTTGACTTTGACCTTGAAATTTGACCAAAACATTTACTATATGCCATAAATAATAGCATCGCATCCACTAAGACACCGAAAGCGGGGGACCACAATTCCTTAAATTTGCTTGTCCTTTCTTGTACCTGATCTATTCCAGCTAATTTTGGTACATAACATCTATGGGCAAAGAGGGGACAAAATTGTTTGTTCGTGGTCTTTACCTACTTCAGAGATTGAGGAAAAGACATCAAAATTTAAGATATAGAAAAAATAAAACAATTTTGAAAATCTTATTCATGGACATTTATCCGGCAAATGTTTGTATGATTACAATGAGTACTTTACCCTTTATATAGAGGATTACAATGCCTCCTGGGTAATGCCTTTAGTCCCATGATAAGGCTAAGTTATTTATATATTGAAAATATACGACACCTTTGAAAATATCCTAGTTACTTTTAGATACAATTTCTTTGAGGATTATTATAAACATTAAGCCACAATTTATGAAATCTGTTTTAATACTCGCTTTCTTAACAGGTAGGAAATCAAAAAGATTTTACCTAAACCAAAAAATGGACTAATCAGAAATGAAGAGAAAAACTCAAAGATTTTAAGTGTTGTCAATGAACTAGTTACCAATTACTACTTGGAACATAAAAGATGTTAAATTAACATACCTAACTACAAAAATCATCTATCTTAAGATCATTTATAAATTTTCTTCGAATCACATGCAATTTAGAACGCAACATCAACTGTTCAAACAAAAGTATAGAAGTGCAAAAAAGTACATTGCGAACATACTGTATCTACACATACTGTAGTCTTGTTTTCGCCAAAAAAGTATTTTAGATTTATAAGCGACACATTCCTCAATATATAATATATATACTCGAAATTTTAATTTTTGCGAGGGGACGGTCTCGCGCGATTTGTCAAAATAAAGTTTTCACGAATAAAAAAAGTGATTTTCAGTAATTTCTTCCGCAAAATTGCAAAGAATTTTAAACTCTTCAAATTGGCTAAATATCCTTATGGATTGATTTAATTGTAAAGCTGCCTATTTTACACATTCTTACAAATGAACTGCATTCCCACTCCGACGTCACAGACTTTAATACAGAATAAAATACATGACTTGGCCGATCAAGAATTATGGTGTCAGTCATCAAATTATTAGCTCAGGTCTAAGGTAATAATTTTTGCATTTGAGATCCATCTGTTCCTGTTTGAATTCGCCGATAAATACGAGTTAAGGTAAGCCATGGCACCTGATCGCACCTCAATGTTTTTAGAAGTCCGTGTTTGCTCTGCTCTAAATCTGTATTGTTTCAATATGAACTTTTGAGCTTGATTACTGTTCTTTATCCTCATATTTCATCTAAAAGTGTGTTCCATTTCATTTCATACGTTTGCCTAAAAATCTCAAAACTTTATGCTGACAATGGAATACTAATAATACAAAAGAATAAAGAACCACACCATCAGAGGTTTGGATTGCGAAATAGTTTCTAATGAAGTGTAAAGATCATGCTCAAAAGTTCAATCAAACAAAAAAAAATGTGTTCAGAGCCAATACAGGCTTCTGAAAACAGAGGTGGGATCAAGAGCTGTGTGCCCCTTCATACTAACAATGAAAGACCTCAGCCAAGAAGGGATTGCGAAATGTTATCTCGATATTAATGATATTTTTAAATCTATTTATTTATCAGTAGCCTGGCTTGTTTAAGAAATTGTACATTTAACATTTTTTTTTACATCAATAATCCAAATTTATGAAAATTTTAAAACGAGAAAATGCTTATGTTCTTGTATCTCCAGTAAATGTTCAACCAAGCCTCTATCTTTACTCCTCACTAAGATATTAACAGTGGTGAAGGAGAAACTTCAGGAGTACTGTGCAACAATACATTCGAGAAGTGGTGTAAATCAGATGTGGATACTTAAAAATTCCAAGGAACTTTTGGAAAATTTGAAATCACAAGATTTTACCAACATCAACAGCTTAAAAACTTACGACTTTTCAACTTTATACACAACCATTCCCCACGATAAATTAAAGTCCAGGCTTTTTGATATCATTGACAGCTGCTTTTTCAATAACAAGAGGCCCATGGGCCACATCGCTCACCTGAGTAACTTTGGCCATGCTGTTCTTTATCAGATTTCCCCCTTTTAATATACCTATTGTGGCCCCGCCCTACCCCTGGGGGTCATGATTTGAACAATTTAGAATCTACACTACCTCAGGATGCTTCCAAATATGTCTCAGCTTTATTGGTCCAGTGGTTCTTGAAAAGAAGATTTTTAAAGATTTTTCTTATATATTTCAATGTAAAACCTGGATTCCCTATTGTGGCCCGCCCTACCCCCGGGGGTCAAGATTTGAACAATTTATAATCTACACTACTCCAGGATGCTTCCATATAAGTTTCAGCTTTTCTGGCCCAGTGGTTCTTGAGAAGAAGATTTTTAAAGATTTTCCTTATGTATTTCAATGTAAAACTTGGATTCCCTATTATGGCTCCGCCCTACCCCCGGGGGTCATGATTTAAACAAATTAGAATCTACACTACCCCAGGATGCTTCAATATAAGTTTCAGCTTTTCTGGCCCAGTGGTTCTTGAGAAGGAGATTTTTTTAAGATTTTTCCTATATATTTCAATGTAAAACTTGGGATTCCCTATTGTGGCCCCGCCCTACCCCCGGGGGTCATGATTTGAACAATTTACAATCTACACTACCCCAGGATGCTTCCATATAAGTTTCAGTATTTCTGGCCCAGTGGTTCTTGAGAAGAAGATTTTTTAAGATTTTTCCTATATATTTCAATGTAAAACTTGGATTCCCTATTGTGGCCCCGTCCTACCCCTGGGGGTCATGATTTGAACAATTTAGATTCTACACTACCCCAGGATGCTTCAATATAAGTTTCAGCTTTTCTGGCCCAGTGGTTCTTGAGAAGAAGATTTTTAAAGATTTTTCTTATGTATTTCAATGTAAAACTTGGATTCCCTATTGTGGCCCCACCCTACCCCCGGGGGTCATGATTTTAACAATTTAGAATCTACACTACCCCAGGATGCTTCCATATAAGTTTCAGCTTTTCTGGCCCAGTGGTTCTTGAGAAGAAGATTTTTTAAGATTTTTCTTATATATTTCAATGTAAAACTTGGATTCCCTATTGTGGCCCCGCCCTACCCCCGGGGGTCATGATTTGAACAATTTAGAATCTACACTACCCCAGGATGCTTCCATATAAGTTTCAGCTTTTCTGGCCCAGTGGTTCTTGAGAAGAAGATTTTTTAAGATTTTTCCTATATATTTCAATGTAAAACTTGGATTCCCTATTGTGGCCCCGCCCTACCTCCGGGGGTCATGATTTGAACAATTTATAATCTACACTACCCCAGGATGCTTCCATATAAGTTTCAGCTTTTCTGGCCCTGTGGTTCTTGAGAAGAGGATTTTTAAAGATTTTTCTTATGTATTTCAATGTAAAACTTGGATTCCCTATTGTGGCCCCGTCCTACCCCCGGGGGCCATGATTTTAACAATTTAGAATCTACACTATCCCAGAATGCTTCCACATAAGTTTCAGCTTTTCTGGCCCAGTGGGTCTTGAGAAGAAGATTTTTTAATGACCCCACCCTATTTTTGTCTTTTCTTGATTATCTCCCCTTGTAAGGAGACTTGGCCCTTTATTTTAACAATTTACACTCCCCTTTACCCATGGATACTTTGTACCAAGTTTGGTTAAAATTGGCCCAGTGGTTCTTGAGAAGAAGTTGAAAATGTGAAAAGTTTACAGACGGACGGACGACGGACAACGGGTGATCAGAAAAGCTCACTTGAGCTTTCAGCTCAGGTGAGCTAAAAATGGAACTCGTAAATATACTTACCTTGTCATTGGTCATTTGCAAAATTATTTTGTTAAAAAACATTCTGATTGTACACACAAGTACTCTGAAGTTGACATTAAAAAGATGCTTGAGTTTCTGATTGACAATATCTATGTGGTTTTTGGAGACCAGGTCTTCCAACAATCTATTGGAATTCCTATGGGTACCAATTGCGCCCCGTTATTAGCAGACCTTTTTTTGTATTCATATGAAGCAGAATTTGTCGAAAATCTCGTACGTGAAAAGAAGAAAACACTTGCTGTGGCGTTCAACTCGACATTTAGATATATCGACTACGTAATGTCAATTAACAATGGCTATTTTCATTCTTATGTCGATACCATATAATGGTGAACTTGAGATAAAAGATACCACAGAGTCTGACACATCTGTTTCATATTTGGATATTTTACTTGAAAAAGACGTTAATGGTAATCTAACAACCAAGCTTTATGATAAACGTGATGACTTTAACTTTTCAATCGTCAACTTCCCTTACTTATGCAGCAATATACCTTCATCACCTGCATACGGGGTATATATCTCTCAGTTAATTCGATACGCAAGAGCATGCTCTACGTATGTACAATTTCTAAAACGAGGTAAATTATTGACAAATAAGTTGATGAAACAAGAATATCAGCTGTCTCGTTTAAAGTCATCATTTCGTAAGTTCTATGGTCGATACAATGACCTTGTCAGCAAATACAATTTATCATTGAGTCAAATGCCAACTGACGTTTTTCATACTAATTGTTAGGCCATTATTTACACACTGAATTGTCGACGGATTTTCCCGTTATTTCCCGATCATGACAAGGAGCACACGGTGGGTGTGACCGGTCGGCAGGGGATGCTCACTCCTCCATGGCACCTGATCCCACCTCTGATGTTTGGAGGTCCGTGTTTGCTCTGCTCCTATTTTGTATTGTATAATGGACTTTTGAGCTTGAATACTGTTCGTTATCTCCATATATTTCATCTTTCTCTTAATTACATAGCAATGCAAGCAACAACTGAAACCATTACATTTTCACATTTTTATTTACGTAACAAACATCTGCTTGTATGTTAAAATGCTTAGGAGTGTGATTTAATGGATGAATGCCTGTAAAATATTTGTAGAATCCTTTCTCCTTCAGAGTTCTATATGTATTGAGTAAATCTGGATATAAGGCTTTGCTTGGCCAATCTGAGAAAATATGATACTCCAAGGAGAAATGTCTGATTCTTGAAGTCATTCCAGTTTTAATTAAATAATCCAACACTGACCACTCATGACCCTCCACGTCTATTTTTAAGTAATCCAGGACTCTCTGAAATAATATAAGTCATTATAAAACAAATGCTCATACTGAATAACTGATCTCCTTTCAACTTCTTATCAGGTACTTAATGGATGCAACAGTAATTACCAAATACTGTTTACTTTTCCTTCACATTTTAGGGGACACTACTAATCCATTGAATCGTAAAATTAATACAAAGATATTTTACTTTACAATAGGAAGGTCCTTGGGGAAAAAGGATCTTAGATCAGCAGTGCCTTCGAGGTGATATCAGGAAACAGTTTGCTTTAGAATGTAACAATTCCTCTTTGGGACAATGCTAAGAGAAGATTTTTGTACATGTCATATAAATCCTTTTTTTTATACTCATTCGAACACTGACCTACTGAATGCCATGTTTTCCATAACAATCCAATTTTCCTTTAATGATGTAGCTTATATGCATTGTTCTTTGAATTAAACACAGCAATAAATGTAATCACAAAATAAAAAATTAAAGGATGAAATTAACTGCAACAAACATCATGTAGAGATTAATGACGACCTAAATAACTTCGTTCAGTTTAGTTTTTTTTAATCTTGACAGTACTCACATTTTTATGACCTAATTTTTCCATTATTGAAAGGAGATCCATCATATTCCATTTTTGATCACTGGTTACATAAATATCATGGCGTGGATTGAAATCCTTAATCACACGGTTACTCAGACCAATGGGATGAAAAACTACACTAGTATTCCTTATGTGTTCTTTTGAGTTCATGCTGAAAGTATTTCAAAGAAGATTTTGTATATAAAACTCCACAGTAGACATAATTACATGACGATTACATAACATGAAGAGACATAATTTGTCGAAATGCGCATCTGGTGCATCAAAATTGTTATTGGTACCGTATAAAATTTGCATTAAAACTCTTTATATCAAGTTATACAAGGTTCTAATGTACTGAAATTGAAATCAAAGATTTCATCGAATTAAAAGGTCGAAAAGTTTCTAGTAGGAAATTCAGGTGATCAAAACATGATACTCCAAATACTGCATTACCTTGGATCAAACGAATGGACTTCGCAGCCAAGTGTAGCCATAGCATCATCAAAACTAAAGTCATTGGCGATGCTGGAAAAAAACTGTAGGTCAGAGATCACATAGCGAGATTTAAAATTCATATTATTATAGGTAAGTGCTGCTTCATTGTACGTGTGATGGTTAGAAAACCCTTTCATTCCTCAGTATTTCATATTTGTAATAACTTAATAACCTCACCCAAACGAGTAAACTAAACATGGTTTCTCTACTTTAAATGGCTCATCTTGGCATAGAAACCAATTTCCTACTTGTCTATTTTGTTGACACTTATAATCTTGTGGCCTTCTTCTAAAATCTCTAAAAATAAACAAATAATACGGAATGTTTTTTTTTAATTAAGTACATAATATAAATCATATATATTAAGTACATGTAATTCATGGTTTTATTTAAAACTTTCGAAGAATTCCAATCTTATTTCACACACACACACAAATTCAAAATGTATACAAACATTTCTAGAAAAGCTGCAGCCCTCCACCAGTCGGATTGTAAAACCTCTTTTGATTGGTTGTACGTAGGCATTTTCTTTAAGTACTTCCAATCATTATCCTCCACAGGACGCAGTTTGCTATTCAGTGATTTTTCTGCATTTTTTGTTTTTAATGGACGAAGTTCCAGATCTGTACCCGTCTTTGTTTTCTTCATCAATTTACGAACATCCCAACGGACAACTGTTTGTGGTTTACGAAAACCTCCACGGACAACTGTTTGTGGTTTACGTTGTTCGTTGGTTGGCATTTTCTGTGGTGAATCGTGTATCCGCGAGGAACCTGTTCGTAAAATAGCAATTAAACCCATGTAAATGTGTAAACAAAATATAAAGACTGAAGAGTGTCTATTTGTAAATGTATAATAATTGCCATTGTATAATTTAAATTTGGAATGTTTTTTAATTGTGTTCAGATTGAAAGATATTTGTGATAATTGACTTTGAATAAAAACTGAACAAACAACATAAATCACTTTGAAAAAATTGCATGGGTTATTGTATGAACACACTTTAACCTACATCAAAAGAGACTTAGTTTGATAAATTGCTGGTATAGACAAAATATCGAAAGAATTTTTCTTAAACTTAAGAAATTTTTGTCGTAGTTACATTCTTGTCTCGGGGCAATAGTTTTAACAAATTTTACTCTTCATTTATAATTGTTTATGGGGATGTTTTCGTATAGTTTGGCATTTCTTTGAGCTAAGTGTATGATTTGGCTAAAATAACCATAATCATAGCTGACTGAATTGTCTTTTAAGTGATTATCGCTAAACATAATTTTACATATTTATGATGATAGAAAAAATCATTAATTTGTCAAAAAAATGGTAGATGATGAACTAAATTTTGGAATAAATGATAAATAAATATTAATATGAAAAAGATGAAGATAACAAACTATGATCAAATTTATTACTTTTGTAAAAAAAAAAAAAAACAAAACAAAACAAAAAAAAAACAAAACAAAACCCAAAAAACAAAAAACAAATCTTGAATAGAGTAAAAGAATAGACCTGTGGAAACAGCAGAGATGGGACCAGGTGCCCAGAAGGAGTAAGCATCCCTTGTTGACCGGTCAAAGTTGTTATAAAAAACTGTTAAGAAAAATGTCGGTTAAAATACGACCCAACGTTAAACTGTACTTGCAAACAGGGTCATTATAACGACTTTGGAGTTTCAGAATGCTGGCTTTCAACGAGATTACTGAAAGCTTTGCAACATCAATTTTTCTGTCAGTAGCCTCTCTTGATTAAAAAATTAATCGATCGTACTCTGAGCATGCTCTTGCTTACAGAAAAAAAATGTTGACACATGAACACAATATGCAGGTTAAATATCTTTCATCTGCATATTGTGTTTATGTGTCCCAAGTACTATTTACAAATAGTGTCAAATAGGAGAAGTTAACATTGGCAAAGTTGGAGTCATTTCGTTTGTCATGTGTTTTATAGTTGTTAAGTGGATATTAATGTCTTTAGTCATTAAAATATCCAAATATGAAACTGAAGTGACAGACTCTGTCGTATCTTTTATGTTGAATTCACTTGGAACGTACAGTCGCTCAACATATGAATGATAAAAAACTCTAAATGTCCAATTAAAGGCCACAATAGTTTTTGAAGAAATTCTGCTTCATGAAAAACAGATTGTCTAATTAAGTATCACAGTTATCGCTTATCGAAGTTTCAACATAATGCTGAACTCTAGAATTTTTTTTTTTAAATCAGCATCAGAGTACTTATGAAAAGAATTAGGATGATTTTTGAAAAATAATTCTACAGATGACCAATCATAAGATATTATTACTATTTTTAAAGAAGCAGTTATCTATGATACTAGTACTAAGAATCTGGTTTTAAAATTTATCATTGAGGAATAGTTGTATAAGGTTTTGAATATACGTTTTGATGTTATTAATTTGGGGGGGGGGGGGGATGGGACTTTAATTTTTCTTTAAAAATTTGGAGTTTTTCAGAATCCATACTTGATTTATGCTACCTTACGCAAATTTTTAAATACGCTGTAGCATAGCACATCGGTAGTTTCTCCTTCGTAAGTTTTTTTTTTTTTTTTTTTTTTTTTTTTTTGAGGAGTAAAGTTTGGGACTTGGTAAAATATTTATTGGACCCAGCGACGTTTCTTTATTTATAAGGATTTTTATGAAATTTTTTAATCTAGTATAGGTATGAAATATCAAAATCATTTTTATACAATGGAATGTTAAAAGTATTTTAAACTGAAATGTGATTGTGAAGAATTGCTTCATTTGAAAGAGAACTGTGAGTATTAAGTAGGATTACCACATGTGGAATTAAAACAAATTCTTCTAAAAAGCAGTTGTATTAATAAATCTTGCAAACAAAAACTATTTCAAGCTAACCAAAACATATTGTTCAAGTAGTCTTTCTAATTCTTTTATCACTTCCAGTTTTCTGAAAACAAAAACATAGATGGTATGTATTTTGCCCTTTAATTGTAAATGTCATTCTTACTAGACAAGTATTTATTAAAACTCTTCTTCATACTTATCCTATACAGCATATCGCACACTTATGCTATCCGGCATATATCTTCATACTTATGCTATCCGGCATATATCTTCATACTAATGCTATCCGGCATACATTCATACTTATGCTATCCGACATATATCTTCATACTTATGCTATCCGACATATATCTTCATACCTATACTATCTGGCATATATCTTCATACTTATGCTATCCGGCATATATTCATACTTATGCTATCCGGCATATATCTTCATACTTATGCTATCCGGCAAATATCTTCATACTTATGCTATCCGGCATATATCTTCATACTTATGCTATCCGGCAAATATCTTCATACTAATGCTATCCGGCATATATCTTCATACTAATGCTATCCGGCAAATATCTTCATACTAATGCTATCCGGCATATATCTTCATACTCATGCTATCCGGCATATATCTTCATACTAATGCTATTGCTATACGGCATATATCTTCATACTAATGCTATTGCTATACGGCATATATCTTCGTACTAATGCTATCCGGCATATATCTTCATACTTACGCTATCCGACATATATCTTCATACATATACTTATCCTATCCGGCACATATCTCTTCCACTTAGCAGCATTTTCCTCGAAATACTACTTTCTTCATTGTGAAAATCAATAAGATACATGTATATCTAAGATAAATGGATAATCAATTTAAACACACACACACACACACACACACACACACACAATAAAAACAACAAAATGCTATTGCCCGATTTCTGCTTCGTCTTGAAAAATAATAAAAAGAAATCATAGTTTGCTTGCGCGACTGATCTAAGTCGATAAAAAACAGGTAGCAACTAAGCGTTCGACACATTCGGATGAGACCTTAAAAACCGAGGCCCCGTGTCACGGTAGGCGTTGGCACGAAAAAGAACCCTCACTGCTCAATGGCCCCGAGTGCCAAGTAAAGGTCTAAATTTGAGTGAAAACGCAGTGGAAAATTATTACTATAGAATCAAGTGGTCTAAGGTTCGATTCCGGTAAGTAACTACATTTCTTTTGTTCGTTTTAGATTCCATGCCATGCTTACCCCTTAAACTGACAGGCTTATAACCATCTGAATGGTGCTTTCGATTAATTGATCGATTGTATGTTGTTTTACGTGCCGTTCGAGAATTTTTCACTCATAAAGAGACGTCACCATATACCGGTGAAGGGCTTCAAATTTAGATCTTTACTCGGCACTCAGGGCCATTGAGCAGTGAGGGTTTCTTTTTCGTGCCAACTTTTACCATGACACGGGGCCTCGGTTTTTAAGGTCTCATCCGAAGGACCCGCAACTTTCACTTCAAAGTGCAAAGCGCTTGGCGAAGGAATAGTTGCTACCTATTTTTTATCGACTTAGGTCAGTCGCGGCCGTGATTCGAACACACGACCTTCCGATCACGGAGCGAGAGCTCTACCGACTGAGCTACCGTGACGGTCTGGTGCTGCTTTCAAGAGCAAATTTATTCAAGAGAGTAAAAAATTCAGAGAATTTGACAGCACAGATCGCAGTGGCTCGAATTCCGATATGGGTGAATTAATAATGACCACGAAATTTTGAATTTTTTGAAAAAAAAATCAATTAACCATATTTTTTTCACTTATATCATCATACTGTACATGCATTCTTCTTAAAATTCCTGAAGTGGCAATAGAATAGACAACTGCATAATTAAAAAAGTCTTAGAATTTTTTTTTGGGGGGGGGGGTTAAAACTTTATTTAAAAAATATTACTACATCCTAAAAGACTTTAAAAAAGAAATTATAGTTTTTATACTTCAAAATGGTGCCAGGGACATAAGTGATTAGATCTAAACCTTGAGTTTCTTTCTTTTGATGTGAAAAGTTTTGATATGAAAGAAATATGAAACAATAAATCGCCAAAAATTACTTTTTTGTCCATTTCAGTCAATTTTGAATTTTGATATACAAGTTTTCTTACAAAAAAATATTAGATTTTGAAGTCATCCTATTTTACCTTATTTTGTTGCACTCCTGACATCTAGGTATTTTATTAATCACTGTATTAAAAATTATAAAGCACAATAACTCATTCAACGTTTGTAAATCAGTTTATCGTTTTGATATTTTTTCATTATTTACGGCAAGTTTTTCAAATTTTCAAGACTTCAAAACATGATTATTTGCTTATGTGTAACATATATTTAAAATACATGTTTAGTGATGTAAACTTTTCTGTAAATTGACTTAAAATGTCCAAACAATATCTGTAATTTGTTGATAGACATAATGACTTGAACTACAAATAGTATCAAACATTTTCTGCAAATAATTTTTCGTAAAGATAGATGAAGTTCATTGATTATTATAAAACAGTTTTGTTGCACTCCTGACTGTAGTAAAAATTAATATTAAAACCACAGAACAAAAATTCATAAAGAGTTGGCAACATCAAGTGGTGACTAAATTGTGCAATATTTATAGTGCAATACTTCATGGTTAAAAGACTTGAAAGTATTTCAACTTTATTTTATCTTTTAAAATATTACCTATTTATGTCAAAAAAAAAAACTAGCAAAAATATATATTTAGAAAAGTATACTTTATAGCATAATTTCCTTCACGGGACAAACACTGTAAGCAATTTAGGTCAACCAGAAACATTCTACTCATCATTTTTCTCTCCTTATATTTATTCATATTTGATCAACAAGAATTGTTAAGCATAAATTACATCAGACCATGTTCTACTGCTTCAGTGAAGTTGGGGTGGGATTTTTTGAAATCTATAACAACTTTTCAGCGTGTGTGTGTGTGTGTGAGGGTGTGTGTGTGTGTGTTTACATTCATTAAAAAATCAAAGGAAAGATAAATTTGAAAAAGTGATGGGTTTTATTAATAAAAATGTCAATAATTAAGTAATGAATTACTCAATTAGATAATTATTGATTAATGAACATTTATTAGTATGAATAGAAGTCTTCCAATCATATAACTTTGATCTTTAAAAAAATATGTTGCACTCCTGGCCATAGAAACATAGACCTGGATAAATTTGTTTGGTAAAAATGTTATTTGTGTCTTTATTTTCCAAAAAAGAAATCTGAGAATAATATACTGATTAAAGTTTTCAATGCTGGGAAGCAAAACATCAAATGTTGCACTCCTGACATAATTGGGTATGCACAGATACTTGACTCTCACTAATGCTGTTTGTGATTTATGTAACATTTTAAAGTTTTAAATGGTATATCAGTTATTGTTTTACACATTGAAAACTTTTTTTGACTGAATTGTCTTACTGGATTTTAAAATCGGTTTTTTTGGCAACACTACAATTTATCTGTTACACTCCTGACATGGTATATTTTTTCAGCATCAGCCATGACCAAAACTTGGTCAAACAAAAGTTGCTTCAGTCTACATTTAAAGCTCAATACTTTGAATATTATCAGATACTTTAAATATTATCAGCAAAGTTTTTATTTCCAGCATAAACCATTATCATTTATTTCACAGATCTTCAAAAAATATTTAATTTTCGAAATCTGCACTCTTGACAATTTTAGCATCATCTTCGGCACATCATTTTTTGTGTCTTGAGATTTCAATGAGATATTTGGCAGGTATTTAGACAATATCAAAAGACATATGCTGAAATGTAGAAATTTATTCCCTGTGCCTGTATTTTTAGTGCAGATTGATAAATATGTTTAGTCTTTTTTTTTAAATTCACCCATATGGTTTATACATTTCCTGATCTGATAATAAGACATAAGCTCACCCTGTGGCGATATGCTGGGACTAAAAAACTCATATGCGCTTCTGTTGTAAAAGCAAAAGGTCAGAAAGACCCCTAAAACAGGAATCGCGACCAGCAAATTCCTCTTCATAGCCAAGTGCCGCTTTGGATACCGTCAGTCAGAACTATTGGCCCATTACTGATTTCAGTCTGCAAGAGAAAAAAAGTAGAAAAACTGAGATGCAATAAGTTGCTTCCAAAGTCGATTTTAAATGCGCTCAAAAGTTGTTGACGCCAAAATGTACTACTTGTGTCAGTAAGATTGACACAAGGTTTTTTTTATGCCCCGTATCGAAGATTCGGGGGTATATAGTTTTGCCCTGTCCGTCCGTCTGTCTGTTTATCCGCAAAAACTTTAACATTGCTCATAACTTTTGATTGGTTGGAGCTATGGCTTTCATATTTTCACATGTGTATTCCTGACAAGACCTTTCTTTAGGTACCATCATATTTGACCTTTTGACCTAGGAGTTTGACCCAGTTTTACAAATTTTTTCCCCAACTTTAACCTTGGCCATAACTTTTGAATGGTTGGTGCTAGGGCTTTAATACTTCACATGTGTAATCCTTGTGACAAGACCTTTGTTTGGATACCAGCAACTTTGACCCTTTGACCTTGGAGTTTGACCTAATTTTGAAAACTTTAACATTGGCTATAACTTTTGAACGGTTGACACTAGGGCTCTCATGTTTCACATGTGTAATCCTTGTGACAAGACCTTCCTTTGGATACCAACAACTTTGACCTTGACCTTGGAGTTTGACCTACTTTTGAAAAACTTTAACATTGGTCATATATTTTGAACGGCTGGTGCTAGGGCTTTCATACTTCACATATGTTATCCTTGTGACAAGACCTTCCTTTGGATACCAACAATTATAGCCCATTGACCTTGGAGTTTGACCTACTTTTGAAAAACTTTAACCTTGACCATATCTTTTAAATGGTTGGTGCTAGGGCTTTCACGTTTCACATGTATATTTCTTGTGAGAAGGCCTTTCCTTGGGCACCATTAATTTTGACCTTGACCTTGATGTTTGACTTACTTTTGAAAAATTTTAACCTTTTCCACATTTTTCCAATGGTTGCTTCTAGGACTTTCATATTTTACAAGTATATTCCTCGGTACAAGACCTTACTTTGGGTACCAACATATTTGATTTGCATTTGAGAAAGTAAACTTCACTATAAGTTGCCATACGGGGGCATCAGTGTTTTCACAAACACATCTTGATTTTTATAAGTTTTAAAATGGGACAATGGGTTTGAATCTCAGCTTATTTGATAACCGTGAACATCAAGAAAAGGATCTTCATAAATGTAAAATAATGCTAGTAAAATAATAATTTATAATTAATGATAAAGTGAATCGTCAAAGAAGTGTGCCGAAAAACTCCAAAACGAAAATAAGACAAATAGGAGACCAATAAAGCATTACAGAGCTATTTAAGAGTGGCTTTAACATTTCATACACGTAGTAGTCAATTTAGCAAGCATAACGCATCTGTACTGACCTAATGAGTCCTAACAACTTATAAGTTGGAAATTGTTAACTACATCAGGATTAATCAATAACGGGTGATATTTTCTTTATTCATAGCTTAACAAATAATTACCAGGTACATGTACATGTAGTACATTCCATTTACAAAATTTCCCTTGAGAAATATAGTCAATGCCAATAAATTAACAATATCAAAATTAAAGTTAATGAAATTATGTGTGAATTAATTATGCAGAGGAAATATTTCATGTACAGTAATCAGTCGTGCAAAGAAAAAAAAAGTAAGATCTAGTTTAACGACATGAAAATACGTAAAAAAAAAAATTACGTAAAAAAAAAAAGTCCAATAAATAAATAATTCAACGTGTGAATATTCATACAGGTTGAAAATAAGACACTTTAATGGACTCGGGAGGATTAAAGCTGTACGCGTATGAATACCTTGTCATATAATGTTATTGAGAGGGTGCCGTAATTTTTCTACACATGTGCAGTACTATGTACATCTATATATAGAAAAAATCTCTATATATCCTAAAACATTAAAGCGATGATTAAAAATTGTCACATTTGATAAATTGGTTTGTATATCTAGTGCAATTAATACAAAACACTGTAAATATTTAAAAAAAAACATTGGAATTTTCTTAATTGTGTGTGACTGTATATATGTTTTGCCTTAGAACTATGTAAACATTGAAGAAGTGGAAATGATGTATTGTGACAGAAAAGTAGCGAATTCGACATGTATAAAACATCTGATGCATCAAGCCTGACAGGTACTTAGCTTAATAGTGCGCTTCGTTAGTTGACACGGAATAAAACTACAATTAAAAAACCCTACTTCAACGGTTCATTATCACTTAAAACATAATCCTTTGCATCTAACCAAGAATCCAACTGATATAATTTGGTCTCCCACATAACTTTCCGATCTTGGACCAGTTACGCTGACTCATCGTCTTGGTAATACACCTTTCCTTAAAAAATGACTGAAAAAGGTCAAAAAATCTTTATATAATTATCAACTTACATTGTTTTATGCTCCTACATACGTGTCCAAATCAACACACACAGCATTGCACCAATTAACTATGTACTAAATGGTCGCCTCACTTTACAATGAATTAATAGCTGTCCATTGTGGTAATGAATTATTACTATATAACACAAAATCGTGGTTTTCTATTAGGACACTGTGGCGCGTGATCTGTTTTCTATAATGAATATGGTAATTAGACGCCAATTTTTTTTAACATGCATGGGATTTGATTTTTTTCTCGCCCTTAATTAATACTGTAGTATTGATCTTGGAAATCAGACGACAGGTAGAAAATCCATACCTTCAGTATAGACCGCGGATAGAATCTAACGATATTAATCCTATATTCCTAATGAAGTCGAGAGATTCTTCATCAATTCTTCATTTGATGATCTTCGTTATCAATAGGGACTTAAAGTTGTGATGAGATGCACCTCGTATACTAAACTGTAACTTAAAAAAAAAAACGCTTAAGACTGTGAACCAGTTCTTAAGACTGTGAACCAGACTGTGAACCAGTTCTTAAGACTGTGAACCAGACCAGTTCTTAAGACTGTGAACCAGTTCTTAAGACTGTGAACCAGTTCTCTGAATTCGTTAATTATCTTCTCATTTGGCGGTAAAATTGCATGCAAGGCTGCACATCGCGGCTTTCAGTTTCACTTTCTTTGATTTCAAATTTAGATTCTAATTTTTTTAAAAACTTCAACGAGGGTGCATTTGATTTAGATTCGACAGGAATTTGGGCGTACTTGAAAACGGAGCATAATGTTTTAGCAGTCTATATATCTCGTTTATATGATATTGGAAAGGAAATATTTCCCGATTTTGTGTTTTGAATTGCTAAACTATGTCTTGATATTTGCCTAGATAATTCATTGAGTACAGTACAAAATATGACATTTTTAAACATCTATAAATTCACTATATCAGGGTTACCTACATGTATTTACGATTTTTGTACATTTTAACTCAAAGAAACGAGCAAACATTTTTTATTTAAAAAAAAATGTTTTTCCCCCAAGTTCTTCATGCAGTTTGACTTTACCCACCGATTTATCAGATATTTAAATTAAATCTAATCTTAATTATGTTGCACTGAGAACGAAAACAATTCTTCCCTACCATTAAAAATTTAATATTGCATTTAACTATGCCGCATTATTGATTATCTTACGCCTGTTTATTAATTATGTGAAGTGTTACTACGATATTGTAATTGTTGAGATAAGTATACTAAAATATTACAACGAGACCTATATATTTCGACAAATATTTAAATCAGATGTAATATTTTCCTGTTCCTTGAATATCTCATTTTGTATCTCTTTGCAGTATACCAAAATATTTATAATTATTTTCTTCTTTTTATTTTTTTAACCTTTTCAAAATTGTCTTGAATGATATCAACACTAACATATAAATGCCTGGTAAGGTATCTCAGTTTTTTGTGAGGAAACCTGTTAAGGTAGCAATACTTTAATCACAGATTCTTTGGGAAAATTATGTATTATTGATGAACACACCTGATCTTAAACTTCATTTTTAACCAATTTCCGCGTAGGATATGATCATAAGTAGAGAAAAGTTATATCTCAGTGAACAGACGTCATTCTCTGTAAAGAGTCATTTTCAACTACTAGTACATGAATTTCAGGACCGGCATATTCCTTTCTGCTGATGTGTAGGGCAGTGTGAAATCACAGATTTTAATCTTAGGCGCAGTGTGGGTATGCTATATCATGATAGGAAGACCACTTAACAAAATTGAGAACTTTTAACTATTTTTACTCTGCTTAGAAAATATGGAAACTTCCTTTCTGAATTATCGAAATACGATCAATACGTTTAACTTCCTACTAACCAGAAATATTTCCAGTTATCAATTTCACTTCCTGCAATAATCCTGTTGCTGTCGATGGTTTGAAATTGTCTGATAAGACTTAATATAACACTTGAATTTCGGCTTAAAAAAGCAAAACTGAAAAAAATACATGAAATAGGTATAAAAGTGCGGATGGCTAAGAATGCTTTTTGGCATTTGCAACAAAATAATATAAATAGGAAAGATTTATTATCAACTCCCCTTTCCCAATTTTTTTCAACTAAATTTTTATTCCTGACAAAATGATGTGTAGCTACAGCCTTTTTGCCTATATGGAATATACGTCACTGACCGCTGCATTTTCCAAGACATTGGTTTAAATACACATTTATCAAAAGCCTGAAAGGCTTCAATGGCGTCAAACATGAAAAAACAAACAAACAATTTCTTTTTAATTTGATATGAAATTTTGACTTTAAGCAAAATGTGACAATTACTATGTCATATATTATATCAATTAATATCATATATTGATATTGCTTTTTTTTTTTTTTTTTTTTTTTTTTTTTTTTTTTTTTTTTGCTACAACCTTTGGTTGCATAAATTTCCGGTGGCGATTTCGATGGAACCGCTGACTAGATGACGTTCGAGCTCTGTGTTCTTGAGAAGATCTTCAAAGCATTTTTTACGCATTCCCAGGTAAACCTTTGATCATCCTTCCTACCCTCGGTGGTCATGATTTGAACAATTTTAACCTACACTACATCAGGAAGCTTTC